GGAAGGGCAGGGGAAAGACAGAACTTTCCCTCACGAGGCAGGAAAGCAAGAGAACAACTGTTGTGGACAGACAAGATGTGGACTAGCCAGGTATCTTGGGTAAGCTACTCAACGTCCTCACCTATAAAATAAGGATATATGCCTTCATAGGGTTGCTGGGAGATTTAAATGATAAAGATGTATACAATGGAATTATAATCTTTGGCTGAGGTACATTGGAGAGATGTCATTTCCTACAATACTTTCCAGAAAAAAATAGTAAGGCAACCATTGCTGTAGAGTCAGATCCAACCCATAGCGACCCCTCCTTGGGTTTCCGAGGCAGTATCACTACGGAAGTAGATTGTCCAACCTTCCTCCTGGGAGTGGTTGGTGGGTTTGAACCACCAGCCTTCTGGTTAGCAGTCAAGTGCCTTAGACACTATGCTACCAGAGCTCCACATAGGATATAATAGCAAAGCCCAACTCGGTAGAATCAATGGGGCCTAGGGGTAAAAGTTTAAAGGGTCCCGTGTGGCCCAAATACACAGGACTCTGGTTCCCTGCATAGTCCAGAGACAAAATCTGCAGCATGTGAAAGAATTAAAGCATCCATATGTGCTTTTCAAGTTAACCCCACATCTCTCTGCTTGATGTCTGAAGAGCTGAGCAGTACCCGTTTTTGGTTTGATCCCCTGGTGAGGACCTGCTGACTACGTCCTGCACATTCATGTTCATATCTCCTCACATTTATGTGAGTTTTGTTGGGTTTTTTTTTTCCATTTAATTTTTGAATAATTTTATTCAAATCAAAATTGTTGATAAATTGCTAACTTCTTTTGTACCTTCTGGGTGCAAAATCACCTGAATTGCTTTTAGACTGATCCATTCTTCTGTTGATGAATACCTGCTGGGTATTCCCCTTGAATTGCTTTTAGACATATCTGAATTAACTGGGTCAGAGGTTCAAGTTAACAGTAGTATGTTTCTCTTTTTGTCTCTATTCTACATAATTATATTAATTATGTGTGTGTTGAAATCCACTGAATCATTTTCAATTTAGAGCAACCCCATGTGACAGAGTAGAACTTCCCCATAGGGTTTCCTAGGCTACAATCCTTTTTTTTTCTAACCCTAAGTTTTAATTATTTTTCTGGTGTTACCAGGTTGCTATCCTGTGGAGCCATTGGATGGGTCTGAACTGTCAACTTATTTATTTTTTAAAATTTTATTGTGATTTGGGTAAAAGTTTACAGAGCAAACTCATCTTCCATACAGCAGTTCACATACACTTTGTCTCATGACATTGACTGCAATTTCCCATGATGCAACATCTCTCTTCCCACTTCCTCCCCATAGTTACCTCTTCCCCATGTCTTTCCCTCCCATGCACTCCTGCCCCTTGAGCTGTCTCCCTGTGCATACACAACCCTTCTATCCTCCCATGATTGATCTCTTCAAGGAGTGTATCTTACCTATCTTAAATATTCAGCTCATATGCCTGTCTTTTGTTTAGCTGGAAGCCACAGTGGGACAATTCCAGACCTGAAGGGTAGCTAGAGGCCATAGTCTCAGGGGTTCCACCAGGCCCCATCAAACCAGTTCCACCAGGCCCCATCAAACCAGTAAACCTGATCCCTTTTTTTTTCTTCATTTTTATGATTTTGAGTTTGTTCCACATTGTTCTCCCTCTCTATCAAGGATCTCCTACACAGATCCCCCTCCGAGTGGTTGACAGTAATAGCCAGGCACCATCTAGTTCTTCTGGTCTTATAGTCATATAGGCTGAGGATCACATGGTGTACCAGTCCCTTGGACTAATCTTTCCATGTGTCTTTGGTTTTCTTCATTCTTCTTTGCTGTGGATGAGGAGAGACCTATGGTTGCATCTAGATGGCCGCTTGCAAGCTTTTAAGATCCCAGTCACTACTCACCAAAGTAGGATGTAAAACAATGTTTTTGTGTAGTATGTTATCCAGATTGAGCGTGATGTCCTCTGCAACTATGGTCCTGAGCCCACAAGTCCAGCTCCTCACTCTCTCCAGGTAGTTGGCTGTGGCCAAGAAGTGACTACAACTTTGTTCCTTGTCAGCTCTACTATATAGTTGTAAATTCTTACAGAACATACAAATATACTTGTAGAAACATTGTCTGCCAACCC